ATCTAGATTCAGTCTACAGAAAACTCCAAAAGGAATCCAAAGACAGGCCAGGCAATCAGATGAAAACTCCGAATACAGAAACAGGTCACGATCAGAACACGATAGTAACGCTTGAAATCTCTCTACACCAAATGCTCAAAAAAATCTGGCACTGATGGCTGGGACCAAGGCGTTTAAATAGGAGCAGGAGCAGGCGGATCAGATGAGCGGCGATTAGGACCAGGGCAGAGCTAGACAGGTGGATGAAATGACCAATCAAGCCAATCATGACACTTTCTATCGGTCTCCGCCAAGTGACGTCAATTGTTTACCTCGGGCGCAGTACACTACGCCTTTTCTACCTAAAATGGCGTCTTAGCAACAAATGTCACGTGACTGGCGGAGACAGATTTTCCTAAATCCGCCCCCGTTTTCAGGCTTATGTTAACTGTAATGACTTATCTTGGACAGGCTGCTATGTAAACGGGCCTTTAGTCCTTCGTTTAGCTAGGCTGCGGTTGTTTACACTACGCCTTTTCCACCTAAAATGGCGTCTTAGTAACAAATGTCACGTGACTGGCGGAGACCGATTCCTTACATTTTAAAAATAAACATGTTAGGTTTGCTTTATTTTCATTGTGGCCTGTTGGTATTTAAAAGTTAGTTAAAAAAATAAGAAAATAAAGTCTAAAGAAGTTATCATCCAGAATTGTACAAAAATGTTCCTTTAATAGAGTAGAGCAGTAAAGCTTCTGGCCTTAACAGTTTTTCCTGCATTACTTTCACTTTTATACCTTAAGTTGTTTTAAAAATGGTACGTTTACACTTTTACTGCAGTAAAAAGCTGAAGTTGATGCTCTAACTTCTACAAAAGTGTTTTTAATTGGAGTAATAAACATGAATACTTATGACGCCTCTGGCTGAGATACCAAATGCTTTACTCTCTTTGACAACCCTGGAAACTCCTTCTAAGACCCTCCAAGCCATTGTTTTCCTCTGTAGGGGACATGATTAAGAATTATTTTAGTTCATTTTAGTGTAAATATCCTCCTAATGGCTCCATTAATAGACCTGTATAAACTTTATTAATGTGAAACCTTTTTACAGGCCAGCAGTTAATATTAAAAACCAGCTGGAACTGAATTCTGCCTAGCAACAGCAGAACTTTCTCACCGGCGACAGATTTCAGTTGGTTTCTTCTCCTTTTTGAAACATTTCTTTTTAATCTAATTTAATTCAACTTTATTTTAAATGACTTTATGTGTAGACATTTTATATTTATGTATATCTATTATATTTTTGTGTGTAAATTTGTGTAAATACTAATACCTGGTATGTTTGCCTGTGATACAGATTTTCATAGGCTATTAGCTGAAAAATATTGCGATCAAAAAAGTCCTTTATATACAGTGGCGGTTCTAGACCAAATGTACTAGGGGGGCCAGCAGGGGGCCAGCGTGTTTTCACGGGGGCACAGAGGAGCATGAAATAAAAAACAGGATAGCTGCATGAAGTGAGACTTCTATTCAATTAAGTTTCATTAAAATTCTAAATGTCTTTTTAGGTGAATATACATTAGGAATTTTGGAATTTTACATATTTATGACTTAATTTAAGTTGAAGTTACAGTTTTGTATAAAATCTGAATTAGAGTTTAAGAAAAACTGTAAAAAATTTAAGTATGTTATTGATTTGTTTTGGAAAAAAACATTTAGCAGATAAAAACAGGAATCATATCTCAATACCACTGAAGCCATCACCTTATTTATTTTTTTAAATAGTTAATAAAATACAATTTGTAAAGAAAAAAATGAAACAGATGTAAAGGACATTTTCAGTAACCATGCTTGTTGCAGGGCAGATCATCTTTAGAAATTCTTTGAGTATTATGTTTTCAGTACAGGGGCCAGGACATTATCTACAGGGGCCCTGGCCCCCGTTGGCCCCTGTCTAGAACCGCCCATGTTTATATATATATATATATATATATATATTGCAATGATTATAGAATATCTTTATATTGAGCATCCCTGCTGCAGCATGTAGGGAGCATTTTCCTGACATTTGCTATGTTGTGAGGACCTGGCGCTCCTTCAGGGGACAGAAATTTGGTCCCATCGATAAAAGAGCTGTTTTTGGTTTATGTTTAGGACATAAAAATGAAATCTCTCACATACGCGTCAGTTCAGTAACGGCCGCTGGCTGTCTTTGATCCTTAATCCTTCCTCTGGCCCTAACGCTTTTCATCCACTGGACATCCTCATGTTCTCATCTGCGCTGCAGTTTTCGCCTTATGCATCCCTGTCGCCATGTCTGCATGGAGAGCAGCTTCCAGGCAGATAACCAGGGCAGGGCGCCGTCTCTCTAAGCCTTTCTGTCTCTATTTCTCCTTCTTTAACATGACCCCATTTTACTGCTTGTTAGATGTTTCCTTTTTAGCATTTACAACATCAGTTTTTTGATATTACTAATAAAGTTCATGTTTCACGTTCATTGAATACAATCTTTTAAGCTAGAACATTTCCACCAGAATCCGAATGCAAAGTAGACCTGGATCAGCACCATGGATAGTTCTAATATTTCCTGAAATACTTTGTGTACCGCCGTTAGATTAGGCTACAGCGGATTTTCTGTTTACTTATGAAGAAAAAATATTCTCACAAATGACAGAAGATCTCCAGCAGTGAAGAATTAGTTCCCAAATTCTAAGCTGTGTCCTACGGAAGAGGATTAGGGCCACTGAAAAAAAAAAAAGTTAACTGATTTTTACATTTTATTTCAGTTTAACATGGGAAAAAATTCAGAATTCTGACTTTAGTCTCAGAATTCTGACTTTTTTATTGTTAGAATTCAGTCATAATTCTGAGATTAAAGTCAGAATTCTGACTTTTTTCCCATGTTAAACTGAAATAAAATGTAAAAATCAGTTAACTTTTTTTTTTCAGTGGCCCTAATCCTCTTCCGTAGTGTCCTCTATAGAAGCCCAAGAACTTAAAAATATGCTGCAGTTCCACAAGTTAGATCAGTACCTAAAAGCTGGGGCTGAAATAATCAATCGTGATTTATTGATTATTGAAATAAACATCAACTAATTTAGTAATTGATTAATCCTTAACTGGAGTATAGAGACTCCACATTAGAGATCACGGATTAGCGGACCGTGGTCCGGATCCGTACCCAACCTGATTTAAAACATTTATAAATTACTGCATGTGTCTGATAACAGTGTCTTATTTAACTTGCGCCTCTTCTCCTGTTAATACGGTAAAGCCCTGGGGAGCGTCCGGCTCCAGGCTGCACGTGATCCAAATGAGCCAATGAGCTGTCAGTCTGGGTTGCTGCTGCTGCTACTTTTAGACACAGCAGGCAAACCTGTGGCAAGCCGGGCGATGGGAAAGAAGGAGAAGACCATGAGAAAAAGAGAGCAGAGAAAGTGTGGACTGCTGGAAGAACTGCGGTGAACTGGTGAAAGAAAAGTGAAATGGCGTGCTCAAAGATGACCCTGCACATTTAGAGGATGTTTGGCTCAACCTGCTGCTGTGAAGCAGGATTCTCCACCATGAACAGAATCAACAATAAATCTGGATCCAGGCTCAAAATGAGCTCCTTGATATGTGCTTGAGAATGGCTTAGTCTCCGGTTAAACCCAGGTTTAAAGCCTTGCAGGGCAGCCTAAAGCCCACTGCCAACATTAAGACAGAAAAAAGAAAGAAAATAACAAACCATCAGTTCAGGTGTTTGAGAAAATATGGGAATCAGGAAATTATCTATAAACCAAACTGAACGATTGTTGTTCTCTACTTCAAAAACATAAAATTTTCAAATGTTCTTCTTTTTTTTAATTTTAAATTAAATTTATAACATGGATGCATAAACACCAAATTTTATTTCAGTGTTAAATTCTGTTTAAAGTAACAGATTATAATTAAAAATGTCTCCAGACCTTTACTGGTTGATGATTTTCTTTATTGGGACCCTGATGGTTTTTAATTGGTTACTCCTGCTCTAAAACATGCCTTTAACTAACAGAGCGACGCACTTAAAGCAGCAAATAAACCAAGATTGTAAATGTCCTGATTGTAATGCTACAGCCACTTGCATAATAGCTGTTTCAGTTACCGTAAATCCTCTAATATAGGCTGGGGCCTAGCTAATTCTATATTATTTCTGGAAACAGCTTTATTAGACAAAAATATAAATGTTCACTAGTCAGATAGGAGACATAACGACCAAAATGATCATGATAAGGATTTAATTTCACACGATCAAGTTATTGAAAAGGATTTTCCAATGTGGCCCAGCTTAAAGTCGCTTCTTTCGGAATTTATTTGCTATAATTTGCTGCTACAGATTGTTTTTTATCTCAGTTCTCTGAAAGAAGAGTCATTTGAACAGTCAGTCAGCTATTTTCCAAACCATCATATTTAAAACAGGAAGTATTAATATAGATATCGAAAAATATTAAAACTTATTGTTTTCCTCAACTGTTTCAGCCCCAAAATAAAAGATGCAAAATTTCAGTTTTCTATGTAACAATAAAGCGATCCTTGGCTGAGTTGGTAAAGCTAACAAAAGGTGGAGCAGTGATATTTTATAAATGCACGGGTGAAGTTAAAGACTCGTCTCTGTTGCAGAAAGTGGAGGTCTGTAGAGAGAAGAAAGCCTCTGTGTGCTGCAGACTCAATAGGCTCTTTGTTTGCTGGGCATGGGAGGCGGTTAGCTATTAGAACAGAGCAGGACTCCCCCATACTGAAGCTTACCTGAATATACCAACACCTGATTAAAAATCCGGCCAATCAAACACCGACACTCTGTCCGTTTGTTTCCAACCAGGCTGCATAGTTTGTAAGCTCTAAATCTTTGAAGGAGCTGATTACTCTTCTGAATTTTACGCAGCGTTTGGTTCGTCTGTGTTTTCAGGGAGGTTGGTGCAGGGCGGTTCACCTGAGAACTGGACTGAGGGCGCTTTGTGTCGGACAACAGTGGGAAGGAGTCAGTGCAATAGGGGAGGGCAGGAGGGGTAGGGGTGCAGGAATGCAGCCTGCACAGGTAAAAGCTTTGTGCAAGTACAACAATCTAGCAAAACCTTCCCAGATCCACACTGGTTCCGGTGTTCATGTCATGCATGGAGGATAAAACTCGTTACAAAGAAAGAAAATTAATAATTTGCAGCATATCTAAAGGATGCAGAGTGAGAACAATAAGGCTTCATGAGGAACACAATGTAAGTACAGGCAAAAAGCTTTAACTTATTTCTTTACTCTTTGAAAAATCCTCCTTCGTGTAGAAATGAATATCTAAAATATTTAGAGATGAAACAGAACTGGTTTGAATTTAAAATGGTTATATCTTTTGGAATTTAAGTAGTTTACAAAGAAGTTAGAATAGTACGGAAGAGGATTAGGGCCACTGAAAAAAAAAAAAAAAGTTAACTGATTTTTTTTTATTTTATTTCAGTTTAACATGGGAAAAATGTCAGAATTCTGACTTTAAACTCAGAATTCTGAGAAAAAAGTCAGAACTCTGAGATTAAAGTCAGAATTCTTAGACTTAGACTTGACTTTATTAATCCCTTGGGATTACTCCCTTCGGGAAATTGTATTTCCAGTAGCAGGAAAAAAATTGCACATACAAGAAAATAGAGGATGTTTAGGCACAGTTTATACAATAGAAAAATAAAAACAATTAAATAAGATGTAGGAAGATGTATTAGCGGATTTCTCAGAATTCTGACTTTTTTCCCATGTTAAACTGAAATAAAATGTTAAAATCAGTTAACTTTTTTTTTTTTCAGTGGCCCTAATCCTCTTCCGTACAGAAGGGAGGAGGGGCAGAGTTGAGACGGACAGAAGGACCCAACATTTAAAGACTAGGATACGCCACTTTTCCACCCTGTAGGAAGGCTGCATCCAAAAGGATTCAGGGTAAAACTTTGAATAATGGAAACAAAGCTCTGCGTGGAAAGTCTCTGCAGTGTTGACCAGTGGGATCAGCATTAGGATTCTGTCAGTGAAACTAAATGGCACTAGGCTGAGCTTATCTATGCTTTACGCACGGACACACACGGTACGCACACACTCACATGCCTGCAAACACCGATCGCCTTATCTCCTCATCCAAACAAGAAGATAACAAATAAGGCACATTGTCTGTTTCCACAGTGGATCACGATAAGAATGAAATCAGCTTAAATGCTCACAATCACACACCCATGCATAAAATCACATAAAGAGGCGGTGTACATATTCAATGGGAGCAGACTGGGGATTAAAAAAGGGGAAGGATGACTTTGACAGTCATCCTTCCTGCTATGAGAGCTAATCTTTCATTTTTAAACCCTTCATCTCTGCTTGTCTTTCCAGCCCTTTGACTCTTCAGTCTGTTTATAGAGCAGCAACTTAAAAATGAGGAAACCAATCTGTTGGTTTTAAACTCCAATCTTTAGGGTTTTAAAAACTCTGCATCAGTTATTTTGCATTTATAATAAATGTTCCTTATAATAGATATTTATCTATTGATCATCAAACCCCATGAAAATCTACTCTGCTAACAGTTTATCCATCGTTTTATGGAATGACATAGATTAGGTCGACAGTTAGCAACAGTTTATAAAAATAACTAACAAAAAATTAGGGATGCACGATATTGGGATTTTGGCCGATATCCGATATGCCGATATTTTAAAACTCATGTAGCCGATAACCGATATCGATACCGATGTTAAAGCTGGACAAAAATAAGTAGTCATTGAAAATAGCAGTTTTGTTATCCATTTCTGACACTTTGAAAAATAATATACTCAAATATATTTTCATATGCTGATATCAAATTGATTTTTAAAAACGCGGTATCGATCTATTTTACTTTCAAAATCTGGTGAAATTTCATCGTTCTGTTACAAACTCTCGTGATATTTTGCAAATTCTTGTGAGATTTTGTTAGTAAAATAGATCGATACCGCGTCAATATATCAACATATAAAAATATGGCAACATTTGGTGAATTTTCGGGGGATTTCGTAGCATAACGATGACATATAGCAATATTTCATTAGTAAAAGAGATTGATATGGTGTTTTTAAATGGCAATATATCAGCATATGAAGATATTGGGATATTTTAATGGATCAATATTTTTTCCCTCGTCTTTAGAAGTTTTTAAGTCTGTAAAAAAGAAGTTTTTGAGGAAGAAGAAGAAGTAGTATTTTTTATATTTTTTTAGACTTTAGAAACTCAGAAGCTGATCAAATATCGGGTTAAATATCAGTGGGGTGGCCGATGTCCGATATTCAGTTTTAAGGCCGATACCGATAGGGGGCCCATTATATCCTGCATCCCTACAAACAATATTACTTCTAAATTTATTATCTCATGATTTAATTTATTATTTACTCTACAGTTTATTCCTTTCCATTATCAGAATATTTAAAATTTTGCTTCATTTGTATATATATTATTATCTTTTTTATATATATATTTTTACTTAATAATCTCTACAGTTTCTGCAAATGTAAGTTTTTAGGACGCTGAAAGCTGCTCTGCTTTTAGGTCCTAAAATGTCGTAGGGATATTTAAATGTCAAATCATTCTGGCTTAAAGATGTATATAAATTTTCTCTGAGACAAGACATATTACTCTTTTATTTTATCAGAAGCATCAATCAGAAAAAAAATACAAAAAAAATAATAGAAAACAACAACAGGATTAAAAGGGACCAGTTTCTTTCAATTATTTTGATTTTAACAGAAGCTTCTGGTGACGGATTATTTGACATAAACCTCCTATATACCTCAGTACTTTTATACAGTAGAAATATACCTGAAAAAAATAAAATAAGCAAGTACTACTCCTCTGAACTCCATTATAGTGCATTTATTGCCAGAGTTTCTGCTGCCAATTCTATCACCATCTTAATACACTCACCGGCCACTTTATTAGGTACACCTGTCCAACTGCTCGTTAACACCTAATTTCTAAGCAGCCAATCACATGGCGGCACCTCAGTGCATTTAGGCATGTAGACATGGACAAGACAATCTCCTGCAGTTCAAAGCGAGCATCAGTATGGGGAAGAAAGGTGATTTGAGTGACTTTGAACGTGGCATGATTGTTGGTGCCAGAAGGGCTGGTCTGAGTATTTCAGAAACTGCTGATCTACTGGGATTTTCACGCACAACCATCTCTAGGGTTTACAGAGAATGGTCCGAAAAAGAAAAAACATCCAGTGAGCGGCAGTTCTGTGGGCAGAAATGCCTTGTTGATGCCAGAGGTCAGAGGAGAATGGCCAGACTGGTTGGAGCTGATAGAAGGGCAACAGTGACTCAAATAACCACCCGTTACAACCAAGGTGGGCAGAAGAGCATCTCTGAACGCACAGTACGTGGAACTTTGAGGCAGATGGGCTACAGCAGCAGAAGACCACACCGGGTGCCACTCCTTTCAGCTAAGAACAGGAAACTGAGTCTACAATTTGCACAAGCTCATGGAAATTGGACAATAGAAGATTGGAAAAACGTTGCCTGGTCTGATGAGTCTGGATTTCTGCTGCGACATTCGGATGGTAGGGTCAGAATTTGGCGTCTACAACATGAAAGCATGGATCCATCCTGCCTTGTATCAACGGTTCAGGCTGGCGGTGGTGGTGTCATGGTGTGGGGAATATTTTCTTGGCACTCTTTGGGCCCCTTGGTACCAATTGAGCATCGTTGCAACGCCACAGCCTACCTGAGTATTGTTGCTGACCATGTCCATCCCTTTATGACCACAATGTACCCAACTTCTGATGGCTACTTTCAGCAGGATAATGCGCCATGTCATAAAGCTGGAATCATCTCAGACTGGTTTCTTGAACATGACAATGAGTTCACTGTACTCAAATGGCCTCCACAGTCACCAGATCTCAATCCAATAGAGCATCTTTGGGATGTGGTGGAACGGGAGATTCGCATCATGGATGTGCAGCCGACAAATCTGCGGCAACTGTGTGATGCCATCATGTCAATATGGACCAAACTCCCTGAGGAATGCTTCCAGCACCTTGTTGAATCTATGCCACCAAGAATTGAGGCAGTTCTGAAGGCAAAAGGGGGTCCAACCCGTTACTAGCATGGGGTACCTAATAAAGTGGCCGGTGAGTGTATGTCAGATTATTACATATTTTAGACTCGTTATCAATAACAGTAGCTGGAAACACTGTGTTGTTTCAGTGCGTGGCGTAGCATTAGCTCAGCCATGTGTCTGACCATCCATCTGCATATTTGCGGAGGCACGTGGGCTGCCATGCCTCCCTCTTCCTCTCCGTTTAACGTTGACTCATCCACTTCCGGCTGGTTAATAATTCAGCCGGTCGATAAACTGTGTTTTCATCCGTGTTATCTATGAAAAAACCCAAGAAATGACACTCCTCCAAAACAAGACATGGCTGGGGGGGTCCTGTGCAGGAGCAGAGGGTTGGAAACGGGAGAAAGTGAGTTAAGGATGGAGATAGAGATACGTGGGGGGGGGGGGGGGGGGGATGTCTCAGCGCTCCTGTAAATCCTCTGCAGGGCCTTGTAAGCTGTCAGACAAGCTAAGGGTATTAAAGCTATAGAACTAAAGGAGCGACACACTTTCACACAAACACACAGACGGGTTCATTGTGAGGAGAACAAACTTTCCTGGTGATGCGGCCCTGACTGGCTCACTGCTGTGTTTTATGGCTTTCTATTCCTATGTGATTGTCTCTGGTGTGTCACATAGGGCCTAAAGCCATTGGGTACAGAGTGGGAGATCTGCAGATGAGGATTAAATGGATACATGGGATGTTGGAGCTGGGATGTAAGAAGGACCCCTGAGGTTTGATGCTATACATGCACACACACACAGTTATGCGCTCGGTTGCCGGGGGCGATGTGGTCTCTCTTCGTCGGCAGCTTGGAGTGAGGTTCCACTAATTGCCCTCATATGAGCCAAAGCCAAAGAGTGTATCAATCCCCGAAGCCACACGCATATAAACATGCATGCTTGAGTGCAAAAATGTTATGTTCAGTCTGCGCCTGTGCTTTTTGTCACTCCGCCGCCCCCACTTATCCAGCCCACACACACAGGTACAGCACACTGATCACTAGCTGCCGCTGCTGCTGACTCAGGTTGGAATTTAATGAAGCTCTCACTTTCAACTCATGTCTCCGAATCTCACTGCTCATTTGTGATTGGCTGCAAGAATGCTGGAGAAAAGTGTTAACGTTGGACGTTTAGTGAGCCGTAGGAATGCCTGGGATGGAGAACCGGTGTTTGGCAGAAAAAGCAACAAATAAGAGAGGAACATTTTCCCTTTTGCTGAGTGAGCTCTTTGAACTTTGCTGCAATGCATGTGTTTGGACCGAGCTACTGATTAAATCTAAACAAGTTTACTTGTATGAACTCTGCAAATGGCACCCCTGGCAGTTAGAAGGGAGACGATACATCCGGCTTACAAGTCGTCGATCCTTTAAACATTGGACTAGATAGAATTTAGCAAATATTGGGAGAGCCTGGTTAAATGTTTAGAAGAAAAGTATTTTGTTCAATTAAGAAAAAACTAAAGTACACTGCAAAATATTGAAATCTAAGTAATTTTTTTTTCTAAAATAAGAGCATTTCTTCTTGAATTAAGCAGGTTAATCCGACACTTTACCAACAGAATAAGAAAACTTGCATTTCAAATAAGAAAAATCTTAATGGTAAAATACATTTATTTTTAAGACATCGTTACTCATTTTAGTAACATTCAGGGGCTTAGGACTTTCAGGACCCTGGACAGCAGATTGTTGGAATTAAACCCAGAAGTCTTTCCAGTGTCGTGATGCAGATCATAACACAGCAGATGTGGCTATTTATGTGTTAGACTGTTTTCAGTTGAGTTTATTTTTAGAGCTCCAATTCACATCGTGTCATCTCAGGTCAACAAGATCTTCCATTCAGATTGGTTCAGTTTTCTATCTATTATTTATTACGATTATTATTATGATTTATTACGATTATTTATTTTATTTCAGGATCTATTTTAATAAAAAAAAAAAAACTCAGAACTCTTTTTAGAATCATGAAAATCTTAGAGGGAATGCTTCATAGTTTTTATTTGATTATGGATAAGCATTAATGAGTGTCACTAGTAAATGGATGCTAAGTGTTTGAGTGTCTCCCTGTGTCCCTCTGCAGGTCGCGTGGATTCAGCAGAACAGGCAGAACATGCCCTTTACTTGTGCCTGCTTCTGTGCTCTAAATGGCTTTTGCAACAGAAGGAAGAAGAAGAAAAAGGACCAAGCATCAGAGGAGGAGGCGGGAGACGAGGAGCATCACAGGGATGAGGAAACTGTGGTGTGACAATGTTGTTGTCAACTTTAAAACGCTGTAATGTACATCCAAGGTCGCAGATTATCAGCCAATCAGCTGTAAGCTGAATATTCCTACCCAGGGAATGAAGGGCTTCCTTGCTTTTATACAATTCACTATGAAACTGGCCTTTTTAAGCAGTTTCATGTTTCTAAAAATCCATTATTTTCCAAGGTAAATAAGACTGATGAAAATAATGGCCTCAAACTTTTTGTTGATCCTCCATTATCTAAACCCGCGTTACTCCAATTATCCATAACCAGCCGAGGGAGAAAAATTTTTTTTTAGAGTTTAGTGTAGAGAGACAAAGGTCTCTCAAACTCCATTATTCTGTTCAGCCATACCTCTCAGCAATGCCCCGTTTTTTCCCTTCTCAACCTTTACTGCACCTCCTCCACGGAGGCAGGATTGGAACTAAAGCTCAGAGGAGTTCTGCTCTTATTCACCTGCTTACTTATGTCAGATCCACTCAGAGAACATTTCAGCCAAGTAGAGAAAGTAGAGTGATTTCTGGAGTCGCCCACAGAGGGGCCCGAGCCCATCTCGGTTTTTCACGCTGCGCTGACCTCCATCTAAAGCCAAGCAGCTGTCCAATCAGTGGCGTAGCTGGAGTGTGAAGATATGAGTCAAGGGTCAGAATGAGAACGGAGCTTGCAGAACATCACTCCTCTGATGCTGCAGCCTCTCCGTGTCACTAATAACCGAACAAGTAATTACCGATAGGAGCGCCTTCAATCCCTTCATTAATGTCCGGCTCTGTGGGAACGGAGCTTCTCACCGTAAATGCCACTACAATGCACTCACACTTATCACCTGTTGGAGGGCACGGCTACACAAGCGTGCACGGCGCTCAGGTTCTTCAGCCGACACAATAGGCTTTGAAAGTGGAACTGAGTGGTTGATATATCGTCAGAGGCGTTCTTGAGTGCACCCAGATGCACAAAGACAAAGGCTGGTGTATAGGTCTCATTAGTATGCATGATTATGCGACGCACGTCCAGTCAGGCAGCGGAGATGTAATTAACCTTTTCCAGCAGGAAACAGATGCCTGGATGTCACACACACACACACACACACACACACACGTCTGCTGTCAGGGAAACAAAGCCGACGTCACAGTGTCACGGAAACAAAGCCTTGAACGCGCCGCCGCCTGGCACCCTCTGATAATCCCCTCACCCATATTTACATTCAGGGCTTAAAGTGACACCATCTCCACCTCTTTACTGTGTTGGTATCAACCAACCCAAGTCCCACCCCCCTTCCTCTTTTACATGATGTCTCCTTAAACTTTCTCCTTGGTGGGATTCATCCGTTTGTTATCGGTAGATGCTACACGGCCCTGCATGGCAGCTCCCGTAGATTAGCCTCTGCCTTTGCTTTCCCATATCGGGGATTTCTTCTGGCGGGTTAAAAAAAATAGAAAAGAAAGAAGCTGCTTTCCGACAGATTAATGGAGGACCTGATTGTGTGTGTTAATGTGGCTCAGCTCCTGAGCTGAACGCCCTGTTTATTCATTCTCCCGCCACGAGCAGCGAAATGAAACAAAGCTAAATCCATTTCACAGCGTAGAGCACCTATTATGATTCAGTGTGTCACGCCTTAATGAGAAGGAGAGAAAACGAGAGGAGGAGCTGAAGGAGAGGAGGAAGAGACAGTAATGAGACGGTCTAATGCTGGACAGAGCAGTCATGCTAATTGGCTACAGTGGATAAGTTTCTCCAGTCGGGTGGAGGGGGTTTGTATGGGGCAGTTATCTGTCGTCACTCCTCTCAGTTAACGATCCCTCCCTACCACATCTTTAATGAACGCAATAGTTGTTGCACTAATGGTGAAAAGCTGTGGATTTTCTGCAGTTTGTTGGACCCCCCCCTGCAGATGGCAGCCCAGCCTTTATGAATCATGACAATTTTCAGGAATTGTAACTCAAGGACAACCAGCTATAAATAGACGGTTGGTGCACGACTCCTGTGGTAGCTACGAGGGAGGAGGCGCATGCGTGGGGGGGGGGCGTGAAAACGACTCCCGTCGCATTAGATTTGGGTCAAAAGCGAAGGAAAAGCCGCTGAAGCGAAGAGTGTTACAGACGGCTGGGAGATTCATCGCTCTGTTCATCTCACCTCTTTTAACACCTCATACCTGCAAAGCACAGGGAGGGGGGGGGCAGAGATGCCAAGCATGAGACCAGGGATTGATGCTAAAGGTGTTGGAAAACATGGAAAAGATCAATAATAAAAAGAAAAAAAAAGGAGTTCCTGTAGTCGGTTATAAAAGAAGAATAAAATCAACCTTAATTAGATAATGCAATTTAATCTGCGTTCTAATATCAATATGCTGAAAGATCCAAGCAGGAAGTAAACCTGAGCTGCAGGTCACACCAGATTTAAATCAGAGATCCTGGAACAAACCAAATCACTCACAGATTTTCGTAGAAGCTCTGAGGCATCTAGGTGTAAATGTCACATTTTTTCTTCGTTAAGTAACAACGGTTTATAAATTAAAAGATCCAATGAGGTAAGAATCCACCCATCCTCTGCAGATGTCCTCCAGCAGTCTAAGCCTATAGCAGCAGAACTATAGAGATAGCTCAGGATTACCTGAGCCACTCTAACTAGAAGCTTTATCAAAAAGGAAAGTTTTAAGCCTAGCCTTAAAAGTAGACAGGGTGTCTGCCTCACGGACTAAAACTGGTAGTTGGTTCCACAGGAGAGGAGCCTGATAACTAAAAGATCTGCCTCCCATTCTACTTTTAGAAATTCTAGGAACCACTAGTAAACCTAGTAAAGGAGAAAGTTAAGAGTCATCCAGGTTTTTATGTCTTCAGACATGTCTGTAATCTATGTAATGGGTTGGCTTCATCTGGATTATAGACAGATGAAGCCAACTCATTTAGTACCCCAGTAGCCTAACCCTTTAGTAGATCTAGAGAGACAATATTGCACGAGTGACAATAGATAATGTTTAGCATCAGATGTCCGATCACCTCCTTCTTCCCCCCAGTGAGGATTTGTACAGCTTGATGGTTTTTGGGGAGCAGCAATCTCACACTGATCAGGCTCCTCTGAGTGGTGAAGGCGGTGTGCAGAGGGTGGCTGGCATTGTCCATAACGTCCAGCAGTGTCTCTGCCACCGTCCCCAGAGGGTCCAGCTTCTAGCCAATCACAGAGCTGGCTAGCCTCCCCAGTTGGTCCAGTCTGGAGGACCCTGGGGGCCTCCAGTGCTGCTGACCACAGTCTGCCGGTCTGTGAGGCAGCTGGAGATCCAGGCCACCAGGCAGGAATCCACCTCCAGGCTATTAGGTTAGTCTCTGAGCAGGGAGGGCTGGATGGTGCTGGAGAAGTCCAGGAAGAGAATCCTTGCTGTGGCCCTTCCCTGGGCATCCCTTTATTAACTATGGACAGCAGTTTTGAACATGTCTGTTAGGTTCATCACTTTGGCTTCCTGCCTTCTGTCACTAGAGTGAATCTTCTTCCAAATAAACACCAAGAATATTTCTAAACATATATGCTAACGCCACCATTGGTTCTACTCATCCTTTAGTCAGCCTTGGCTGAGAGACAGCGGACCTGTTCCCCACATGGTTACAAGCAAATGGTTTATTCAACATAGACACATCAACATAGACACATATCATCAACATAGACACACATCCTCAACATAGACACACACCATCAACATAGACACACATCGTCAACATAGACACACACCGTCAACATAGACACACATCATCAACATAGACACACACCATCAACATAGACACACACTGTCAACATAGACACACATCATTAAAATAGACACACACCATTAACATAGACACACATCGTCAACATAGACACACACCATCAACATAGACACACACCATCAACATAGACACACACCATCAACATAGACACACATCATCAACATAGACACACACCATCAACATAGACACACACCATCAACATAGACACACACCATCAACATAGACACACATCGTCAACATAGACACACACCATCAACATAGACACACACCATCAACATAGACACACACCATCAACATAGACACACACCATCAACATAGACACACACCATCAACATAGACACACATCATCAACATAGACACACATCGTAAACATAGACACACACTGTCAACATAGACACACATCATCAACATAGACACACACCGTCAACATAGACACACATCATCAACATAGACACACACCATGAACATAGACACACACCATCAACATAGACACACACCGTCAACATAGACACACATCATCAACATAGACACACACCATCAACATAGACACACATCGTCAACATAGACACACACCATCAACATAGACACACATCATCAACATAGACACACATCGTCAACATAGACACACACTGTCAACATAGACACACATCATCAACATAGACACACACCGTCAACATAGACACACATCATCAACATAGACACACATCATCAACATAGACACACACCATCAACATAGACACACACCGTCAACATAGACACACATCATCAACATAGACACACATCATCAACATAGACACACACCATCAACATAGACACACACCGTCAACATAGACACACATCATCAACATAGACACACACCATCAACATAGACACACACCATCAACATAGACACACACCGTCAACATAGACACACATCATCAACATAGACACACACCATCAACATAGACACACATCATCAACATAGACACACATCATCAACATAGACACACACCATCAACATAGACACACACCATCAACATAGACACACACCATCAACATAGACACACACCATCAACATAGACACACACCATCAACATAGACACACATCATCAACATAGACACACACCATCAACATAGACACACACCATCAACATAGACACACATCATCAACATAGACACACACCATCAACATAGACACACACTATCAACATAGACACACACCATCTCTGGCCATCTAACAGGATGACCATGGAGAAAACTTCAGTGACCGATTGTGAAGACTGGCACCGTTAAACATCTAATTCCCTACATGTCTAGATGAAAATCAGGTGCAGGGCTGATTAGATTGCTGCCTGCTGGGCAAGCCATCAGGCGTCTGCTGGGTTAATTACCAGAGCCCCCCCCTTCAACCAATCCTATCTCCATCCATGTTCACCTGCCAGCTGCAAATAGTGTCTGATAGAAAAGCCATTCTGACACACTGGAGCGTTTCAGCGATGCCTGAGAAGTGATGATATTAAGAAAGATTTATTTAGACTTTGCCAGTAAAGCCACACATGGAGCTTCAGCCTGCTGCCAGGGTGGAGTGGCTGTGAGAAATACATGAAATGTAAAAGTTCACGCCCCATGATTTCAATCAAGATGCTGAAGATTGAAAAGTCTGATGGATGGATGGATGGATGGATGGATGGATGATGGATGGATGGATGGATGATGGAATGATGGATGGATGGATGGATGGATGATGGATGGATGGATGGATGGATGTATGTATGGATGGATGGATGATGGATGGATGGATGGATGATGGATGGATGATGGATGGATGGATGGATGATGGATGGATGATGGATGGATGATGGATTGATGGATGATGGATGGATGGATGGATGATGGATGGATGAATGGATGGATGGATGATGGATGGATGGATGGATGATGGATGGATGATGGATGGATGGATGGATGATGGATGGATGATGGATGGATGGATGGATGATGGATGGATGGATGATGGATGGATGGATGGATGGATGATGGATGGATGGATGATGGATGGATGGATGGATGGATAGATGATAGATGGATGATGGATGGATGGATGGATGGATGATGGATGGATGATGGATGATGGATGGATGATGGATGGATGATGGATGATGGATGGATGGATGGATTTATGGATGATGGATGGATGGATGGATGGATGGATGGATTTATGGATGATGGATGATGGATGATGGATGGATGGATGGATGGATTTATGGATGATGGATGGATGGATTTATGGATGATGGATGGATGGATGGATGGAGGATGGATGGATGATGGATGGATGGATGGATTTATGGATGATGGATGGATGGATGGATGATGGATGATGGATGGATGGATGGATGGATGGATGGATGGATTTATGGATGATGGATGGATGGATGGATGGATGGAGGATGGATGGATGATGGATGGATGGATGGATTTATGGATGATGGATGGATGGATGGATGATGGATGATGGATGGATGGATGGATGGATGATGGATGGATTTATGGATGATGGATGATGGATGGATGGATTTATGGATGATGGATGATGGATGGATTTATGGATGATGGATGATGGATGGATGGATGGATGGATTTATGGATGATGGATGGATGGATTTATGGATGATGGATGGATGGATGGATGGAGGATGGATGGATGATGGATGGATGGATGGATTTATGGATGATGGATGGATGGATGGATGATGGATGATGGATGGATGGATGGATGGATGGAGGATGGATGGATGGATGGATGGATTTATGGATGGATGGATGGATGGATGGATGGATGAATGGATGGATGGATGGATGATGGATGGATGGATGGATGGGTGGATTGATGGATGGATGGATGGATGGATTTATGGATTGATGGATGGATGATGGATGATGGATGGATGGAGGATGGATGGATGGATGGATGGATGAATGGATGGATGGATGATGGATGGATGGATGGATGGGTGGATTGATGGATGGATGATGGATGGATGGATGGATTTATGGATTGATGGATGGATGATGGATGGATGGGTGGATGAACGATGGATGGATGGATGGATTTATGGATGGATGGATGGATTTATGGATGGATGGATGGAGGATGGATGGATGGATGGATGGATGAATGGATGGATGGATGATGGATGGATTTATGGATGGATGGATGGAGGATGGATGGATGGATGGATGGATGAATGGATGGATGGATGATGGATGGATGGATGGATTTATGGATTGATGGATGGAGGATGGATGGATGGATGGGTGGATGATGGATGGATGGATGGATGATGGATGGATGGGTGGATGGGTGGATGGATGGATGGATGGATGGAGGATGGATGGATGGATGGATGGATGGATGGATGGATGGATGAATGGATGGATGGATGATGGATGGATGGATGGATTTATGGATTGATGGATGGATGATGGATGGATGATGGATGGATGGGTGGATGATGGATGGATGGATGGATGATGGATGGATGGGTGGATGATGGATGATGGATGGATGGATTTCATTTTCCTAAAGCACGGCATGAATCATTTCAAATGTCCCACATCCATCAAGGAGGCGGGACTAAGGCAGCTCCCTTAAAAACCCTGATGACTGATTTGCTTTTTTGATATTAGAGTAAAAGAAAACCAGTAGTGAGAAGCAGCCAATGAGACGTCAAGCTGCCCTAGCCCCGCCTCTTTGATATTGATGGACGTCTGACATTTCTAATTAATGCGGTGCTTCAGAGCTGGAACATGAAATAATGTATATAATTTAACTTTAATGGTTAATTATGACAGAATT